AAAACATAATTCTTGTCTAGAAATCAGCACAATCTCTTTTTTTATAAATTATTTTACTTGCTGACGCGTAAAAGACATGAGTTTAATGTTATGACCCCCTGTTTGGGAAGTTCTATATATGCGCAAAAATCAATAACCCATCTCTCGTTTGATATTGTCTAAATCTTTAAATATCATCGACTTTAATATTTCTCTTTCTGCCCGCATCAATAACAGGTGTTTGAATTAGCAGCAAATTCTCTTTTTGCACTTTTATTGAAGATCGTTTTGCTTAGAAAACACAACATATATCCCAACTCTCCACTCGTTCAAGTTTATGTTATTTCCCAATGGTCCCTTGATCTGTCAGTGCGCTGTATTTCACGAGCAAATTGAGTTGACCTCTTACTGATGAGGTCATCCATTAGAAAGTGGCAACATGCATCATGCCAGCTCCCAAATGACATTACCTCAGAATAACATGGAATGATTTGGATCACAATATTGAACCTTGTTCCCAGAAACATTATTCATTTAACAGTTACAGTTGTTTTTTAATGTAGGTTCCTAAAATGTAGGTCTACTGTCAATGAGGTGGAAAACATGGCATGGATTATGTGGTATGCTATAAGTGGGTTCTGGATAAGATCTGTAGGAGTTGTCAAACTTGCACATGGTAGTTGTTAATGAAATGAATACCATTTCATCTTTGTGTGTCATACTATATAGTCCTGGTGAGTGTGGCATGAGTTAATTTTTTCTTCAAGTTCTAAATTTGTGAGAAAATGTAGAATTGCAGACCCTTTAAAAATGGATGGATGCGTACAAGTATGTTTCTACCCTTTATGCCAATGTTGCCAAGTCATCCTCCCATCCTTCCTTCCTTCCTGTTCTACCGGTCTTCTGTGCGAGAACATACACCCCTGTCATATGGGAGACTGTCACATTCATGTTATTGGATTACATTTCTCCCAACACTCCTCCACCAGGGGTATTGCCCCTCCCTCTCCTCCCTCCCCTCCTCTACAGGCATATATGTAAGAATGCACCCCTGTCATGTATGATGCATCCCCCATCATCCTTCTACCGGTATCTGCAAGATAAACACCTCTGTCTTGTCAGCGAAACTCTCACATTCATACACTTTTAGGAGGATTGCACTCCTCCAATACCCATCCACGGATGACATACAGGCAAGTCATCCGTACCTTCCTATATTCCCTTCTACCGGTCTCACTGCAAGACTGTGCACCTGTCATATACATGGGCAGACTGTCGCATCTTCCAACTCCCCTTGAACCGCTACCGGTCTCAACGCACGAATGCACCCCTGTCATGAGGGCAAGAGCCGCAAGATTGTCACATTCATGTTGTGTGTCAAGTCAAGCATGGCCTGGAGGCAGGGGAGTTCACGCTAGCTAGCCCCAGGCTCGATCTCCTGCTCTTTGGCGTTCTACTCACCTGAGTCAATAAAGCATCCTATTTCTACCTGGCAGTGACAAGCATCTCTAGGTGCATTCGCACCCCAGAGCAGGAAATTGTGACAGCCACCTCAGGGGGGTGTTTCACATCGACTCTAAGTTGGACTTAACTATGGCAGGCCGTTTATGCCACTGTTTGCTCTCACCATTTACTGGCATTGGTCTCTCAAGGGACGTACAAATCATGGTCACAAATCTACAGAATTTCAATTTTTTGATAATTCATTATTGAAAGAAAAAACATTATCTAAAAATCATAATGGTGAGAGCAAACTATGGCATAAATGGCCTGCCATAGTTAAGTCCAATTTAAAGTCGATCTTAGTGTTTGTGAAACACCCTCTAGGGGTGCTTCATGATTTTGATGTTCTTCATAACCGATGAACCCCCTTGTCATATTTTCAGAGATAGTAATGGATTGAAGTTCTTTATGATTTTATGTTCATTGACACAATCACCTACTGAGTGAGATATCTCTCAGCTACCATGGTTGAATCAAGTTCAGCATGAATGCTGTGGTCATTTACACAAGCACCTTCTGATATTTTCATAATTTTAATGTTTATTCATACAATCACCTTCTGGGCCCTGTAACACAAAGCTTACCAATTGATTGATCGATCGTATTTACAGTCAATTGATCGTATATCATGGTCAACTGCAAAACAGCAAACACTTGCTAATCTGTTTCATTACAGGGCCTATATAGGGAATGTTTATTGTAAAGCTTATATTCAAGTTACCAAAGAACGCACTTAACATTTTTTTTCAGATAAAACACCCCTCACCCCTCACCCCTCACCCCAATCAAAAACTACCTTATATGATATTCTGATGGCATTGTGTGAACAGACCTTCAGTCAAGAGCGTTTGATATCCAGTGCGTTACATTCCTTTGGGCTGATTAATTCGCCCCTGAAGAGAGGCTGAAAACATACAACACCAAGGTGAGCAGGCTTGATTGAATTACAATTACCTTGTCTGCCAGCGCCGAAGTAGAGTGTCATTCACACTGTAAAACATCGCGTAAGACTGCTTTAGAATGCTTTGTATGGTTCTGGTCAGAGGATCGTATTGGTGTAGTTTTTTTTTGTTCTATGCAGGTTGTACTTTCAGCATGTCAACCCTGCTTCAAAAAATATAGAAGTAAAATTGTATGTTTTCTATTATCTAGAGCAGGAATTAGTAGAGACGTGAAGGTATAGTAGTAATGGTAGTGGTGGTTCTTGTTAGTAAGCAACCAGAGGAACAACGGCTTTAGTTCCTCTCCGAAAGAGCTGGTAGTTCGGATTAATGCCTTACCAAAGGGCACTAGCGCATCGACTTGTTCCGAACCTGGTGGTTCATTCACTTGCCTCTCAATCCAACAGTTGAGGGTTCCAATCCCAGCCTTGCTCTGATTTCCTTTGGCAAGACATTAATCCACACTTGCCACTCTCTACCCAGGTGTAAATAGGTACCTGGGAATCACTGAAGTAATAATACTTGTAGTGCCCTTAAGAATAAGATATCCCCATGTAAACAGAATTATAAATATATAAATGTACCTCTATTAAACACTTCTTTTTAACATGTTGTATTGGTACAAGATCCCCAGTCTTTCATTGACACTTATTATTCTGATAAATTGCCTAGTATTTATAGGCTTTTAATTAAGATGTAGGAGTAGTAGTCATTTACATCATCCTAAATTGTTGTACTGGGACATTTCTTAAAGATCTAGGGACACTATAGATTGCTCTATTAAGGGATTAACTCTTCAATCCACAGTGACCTTCGATCAAACACCATTTCTCTTTTGATTGCTTGAGATTGATTATTCTATTTATGAGATCGAGCATACCCTTGATTGACTAGTTTTCTGCTCTAATCCCTAATCTGTGTTATCATTGGGAGCTTCTTCTTCTGAATATCCATAGTATAGAGTTTGGTGGAAAGCACTTTATTATTATTCCATAGCATGAAACTTTCTGTAATAGGTTGCATAAAATATGTTGTATGCTCCATATTACATGTATATCACTGACAGTTTATTTGTCCAAAAACTGTAACCCAATTTGCTTATCTATTTTCCCCTCTTTTTATTCTATCTCTGAAATTCTCGTTCAACATATCATTTGTCGTTTGACTTCAGTATAACTATATGCTGATTTTTCCGGCCCTGCACGAGTTTTTCACTGTCCTAGGCCATACCTGTTATTCATTACTTGTTCTGTTTAGCTGTCAAGTGTCGCTCTCACAAATTACGATGGAAAACAGTTCTGTTAAATCTTGCCAAGGAAAAACTCCTTGATCTACTTCGGATAGGGATTTGATTGTACTATTGTATTCACTGATTTATGAAAATAACTACTACTTACAATTTTTTTTGTAATTGGCATATGAAGGAAATTACATATCCAGGTCAGTAAAAGAGTCTTTTGTTCTATGGTACCCCTGGATTACTACAGAAAAAACATCATACCTTCACGGTATTGATATTCTGGGAGCTTTCAGTGTTCTCTTATCCTATCTGACCTCGCTAAGGACACCCTTAAGCCTACTTAAGATAAGTGACCTCTTTACCTTGTTTGAGGTGTTTGTTTTCCCCCTCCTCACCTGTCTTGAGGCATTCTTTGCTATCCACTCTACCAGGATGTAGCCTACTATCCGGGCTGAATTAATTATTCCATCCCGTCAATTGGTGAAAGTGAGAGGGCCGTCTCCCCTCACTGCTTCGTTTTATTCTCTTCTTATTCTCTTCTTATTCTCTTCTTATTCTTTGCGATTAGAACAGTTCACCATGTGGTATGGTTTGTAGTTGCTCTGGATATACAGTCAAACCTGCTTTAGTGACCACCTGTCTACAACAAGCACATTTTTTGTTTCCCTTGAAAATGGTTTCTCATTGAAACATGTACTAAAGGAACCTGTCTACAAAGACCACTTTTTGTGTTTCCCTTGGGCGGTCGCTGTAGACAGGTTTGACTGTAGGCGACTGGCAAACAAGACTTCATGAAATTCATTTTCAGTATCTAAGTAGAGTCTGCTGCTGTAGAATGTAGACTAGAAATGATAAAAGACTAGGAATAATGAGAGAGAGAGGGAGAGAGAGAGAGAGAGAGAGAGAGAAAAAGGAAAGAAAATGTAAATAAAGATGAAATGATTTTAAAAAATAGAAGAGAGAGAGAGAGAGAAAAAAAATGAAGAAAACAGGGAGGGGGGAGGGGTGGATGCTGATGTGGAAAGAATATTGAATTGTCGAAGTAGCTTTTAAACAAAAATAGGAAGTTTTACAACCATCTAAATTCATGTTTATGTATGTAGAAACCTTTTTCGGTGGGAGACTGGAAGTCAGACTTAATATCATTAGTTTATTAATATTTAATCAAATATAATATTGTTAATATTATTTATGCTGTGCTTTTACTTGAAACCTGAAACCTGAGCCAGTACATTAAAATCCCAGGAGGAGCCCAAAGCAAAACAACAAGAAATGTTGATACGAGAGTAAATTCTAACTAGTGATATTAACCACCTTTTCTCCATTTTTTTTTGTCTCTTTCTCTTTTCTTTCTCCACTGCAGATTTATTCATGAACTCGTTACGGACCCACTTTGTGTTTGCCTGTGAAAATGATTACCTAACCATTAGGTGCCCAACAGGGACGTTAATAAGCATACAAAATGCAAACTACGGGCGGAGAGTGCCCAGTACTGACATGTGCCCACTGCCGTGGACGTCGTTAGGGACGCGAAGCGACAGCCTAATTCTTAGTGAAAATATTAATTGTAGAGCAGCTGATTCATTACAAGTAAGTTACCTGTTTTCCCTTGGAATGGACCCTTGTCTCCTTTTTCTCCAGGAAAGAGATACCTGGGCCCTAGTAGTTGCATAAAACTTACCATTGATGGTAACTTTGCCATCAATGGCAACTACCATGGTAACAGGGCTCAACAGCCAATCAAAATCAAGGTTTCCATGGTAGTTACCATTGATGGCAAAGTTACCATCAATGGTAAGTTTTTGTGCAAAAGGGGCCCAGTTGTCTAAAAAATCATTTATGTAGGCATTGATGTGATAATTAATATTTTAATGTGCGGTTATTAAAAGGTTCACTTGATACTACTATGAACAATAATACAAATTGAAAGTATGTTAATTTCTTGAATTAGATACATGGAGTGATTTATAATCAATGATATAGGCTGTCATGGAATAATTTGCAGTACTAGAATTCAAATTGAACTTATAAATACTCATAGTTTATAATTTGATTAATGGTATTTTTTTTCAAAAGAGGTGATAAGTACACTTCAGAACCTCCTTCCTCCTGGTTCATCTGGATTTCAGGGCTACCATAGCCCAGAAACGCATTAAGATGAACCATATTTTTATGTTCATGTTTTCTTTTCTTTTTCATCAGATTATTACAGATAGGTGTGAAGATACGTCGGATTGTAGGATAGAAGTAAAAACAAGTTTATTCAACATGGACCCTTGTCCGACAACGCATAAATACCTTGATGTTTCATATAAATGTAGACCACGTAAGTATCATTTCTCTTCTCTTTGATATCATTTCTTACCGTACTATGATATGTTATATGCTAAGGGTCAGGAGGGCGTTAACTCAGTATATATTCTAACATAGTACTAACGCTCTTCTAGCTTTCAACAGATGAAATGTTTGTGTTAAAGGGATTGGGTAACTTTGTCTCAGATTCTGAACCAAAATCCCGGATTTAGCTAATGATGCAATGATAATTAGCCAATCGCCTGTCTGATCAAGATATTTATGATTGGAAATCGAAATTCAAAAATTTGTTTTCCTAATGGTTTTTGTAACACTACGGTCTATTGTACATAGTATGGTAAAACCGGTCACTAAAAGATTTTTATTTTTTTGAGGCACTTCATGATCATTTTGAAACGCTATTTTTTAGGGCTTCAATATAACACTATATTACAGACACTTATAACACGTAGGGTCATGCATATCAGATTTAACAATGTTAAACGATGCCTTTAAGTGTTTCTTTTTTGAGGCTGCAGAGGCATTTGGAATGAAACAAAAGGTTTTCAGAACTCCCTTGCATACTAGAATTTACCTACCCCCAAAAATATTAATTAACCCTTCAAAACCCAGACAACTCACAACATCACTTGCTAAAGTGGGCATCAGTTAAACCAGTGGTAGTAGGAGGGTTAATGTAGTTACCGAAGCTTTTCAGTATCCCCTTGCATACCAGAATTTACCCATACACAAAACGTTCATTACCCCCTACAACTCCAAGTACCAAACAGCTTACAACAGACACAACATCACCTGTTAAATGAGCATCTTTTAAACCATTGGTAGCAGGAGGGTTAAGGCAGTAGCCAAAGCTCTTTAGAAGTTCAGTATCCTCTTGAATCCAAACACTTGCCCTTATACACAGAATCCATTAACCCTAGATGTACCAAACAACTCGCAGTATCACTTGCAAAAGCAGTCATCCGTTAAACCAGTGGTAGCAAGGAGGTTAAGGTAGTTGTCATGGAGACAGCTTGGAGTAAGGGGTGATGAAGGAGTCCATTAGGGGTAGTACTCTCCTTCTAGATAGGGGTCACATCAACTCTCTTCAGGAGTGGCCTTTCAAATTCTTTTGTCGTTGAAGTTACTATTTGACATGGTCATGAACATGACAGTAGTTTCATTGTTTATTGAGATGAAGAATGTGGAGAAAAACAACTGAAAATTTTCAAAGAAAAATTGATCAACGTTTAGGTGAGGGAAAGAAACAAGTGTTCATCCTCAATAAGATATCTTCAATAAGAATTATAGGAATTCTTGATTACCCTGATCAAAGTATGAATCACTCTTACAGTCATAGAAATCATCATAATTAGAAGGGCAATGTAAAGGAGTTCCATATAATTTTTACCTTAAATATGTCAGCCAGATTGAATGCCCTATTACCCTTTGGACTCTTTTCTAAAATATATTTTCAACCAAAGTTTGATTTGTGACTTTAAATGCTATGTCCCTTGTTTAGATTTTCTGCCCACTTGGCCTAGACATAGTCATGGTAGAGTTATTATTCACTGACCTAACTACAACTTCACATTCCCAAACAACTCAGAAGGCTACAAGCTTGGCTGTATAATGCTTGTATTACGGTGAAATTCATACCTCAGAGACAAGGACCAACTTTTTTTTTTTTACACACAACTGCTCTCTTGACTGTGGCTACAAATTTATTTTCCAAGTCATTCAATAGTTCTCATGCATGCCCAGTTTAGGAGAGCATCAATGCACTTGATTTACCTCAATGTTTAGCTGAAAAGCAAAAGAAAAGGGGGGGGGGGTAAGATAAAGAAAAGTCACCTTAATCCTCTGTATCCTCAGGTACACCCTTATGATATATAACAGAATTTTGTCACTGATTGATCGTATTATTTAAGGTGGCTTAACGAAATGTTTAGTGACACGAAAAGATACATCCGGAACGCAAAATGGGTAATTGTTGGAAATCATGTTTAATATTACACAGAGGTAGAAGCACACTGTTATGATATGGAGCTGGTAAATGCATAATTTACTTTCTCGACTAGGTTTAATGTTTAGCTTATCTTTCATTCAGATATGTCAAAAAAGAACTTTTAATTCACAAACATCGACTATTAATTATGTGTTTTTTATTCTGGATGCGCCTTTTGGTGCTGCCTCATTTCAGTATTCTCCAAAATCTGTTGCCAATTATTGTGAGTTTGTAGTAGGTATCATAAATTTAAGTATCAAAATTCTGATGAGAAAAAAGATACACAACTTCAACATTACAAAGAGCCTTTGATAAGAGAGTTGTTTTTGTCTACATAAATGGTTCTTTTATGATGAACAATGCAAGTACATGCCAACTTGCATCAAACTTTTGAACCATACGGCTGCATAAATCAACTTGATAGGAGAATTCCAATGATTGTTTGAGCTATGCGGAGCCACCGTGAAATGTAAAACTAGATTCCGTCTTGGAAATTGGCAACATTATAACATCAGAATAGCAACAGATGGCCCATGTTACGTAGGGGAAACTGAGCAAAAACTTATTACACCCCTGACCTGTCTCGGTACCCAGAGGGCTATGCAATTCCAGTAAAAACTGCAGCAGACAATCACCTTTCTTCCTCCATGTTAACCCTCTCTATTCTTTGAATCCGTAAAATAAAGATGAAAAATTGCAAATACCAATCTTTTATCTTTCAGACCAGGTTTATAATCAGTATTTTGATTGCTCCTGGCTCGGCTAGTTTGATCTCATAGAAAATGTTGACAGTTACAGCAGAGCCGTTTTACGAGTATTGCATTTCATTGGGGGCGGGTATTGGCCTTTTCTAACTAGTAGCGGGAATTCTTTATGATATATTTTTTATGAATGAACAGTTGAAACGGGACTCCATTGTGAGGGGACAAAGAAGGCGTGTGCAGTTCCCAGCCATGTACTTTATTTTTCTTTGGCTTTGTTTATAAATGCAGTCAAAATAGGGTCCATGGCCTTGGCTAGGAACGTGAGTTTGCTGCAGAAACATGGAGATTAACGAGGCTCGGCTGGCAAAGCCCAAAACTAAATATGGACCCATTTCAAAGTCAGTGAATTGTGGTTTCAGCCATGAAATAGACCTAGAAATATCAATTTAGTCGTGTGGTAAGAGGAGAAAGGAGATTTATGTGTCAGCCTACTGTTAATAACAAGGGGGTGAATTACTAGACTGTGTTATTAAGAGCTGACGAATGAATGGAATATATTCAAAGAAATGTCTACACAATCATTTTCCAGGGTTTATACTGCTTTAAACATATACAGTGCTTGTGAGCTGAACTTTTGACCAAAAGTAGTCAATTTGAATGATGAAAGGTTATTTCTTTTCTCAATTCATTATTCATATGTAGTTAGAAATAAGCTTAAATTTGAGATCAATTTGAACTTAAACCATGCCAGTGTTTCTACGTTAAACTTCAAACCTAGGCCGAGCTATATATACCCAAATCTAACCCTAGCACTGAACCTCACCTAATAAAGTCTGTAGCAAATTATCGCCAGAACTCATGTCGAGCCCTGTTTCAACATATTCTTTTTAAAGTATGATTTATTGTATTCAGAGCATTGTTTGCTGTAGTGTAACAAAATAACCATGACATCTTATTCATTTTTCAGTTCTTTTTCCCTCCTTTTTTTCCACACAGATCAATTCACGAAGGTGGAGACATGTGAGGATAAACACATGAATGTATATTGTAAAGAAGAAAACCAAGTAGTCGCCATCTATAATGCACATTTTGGCAGGTTATTACCAGGCAGTATGGAGTGCCCTTCGTATTCAATGCATGAATTAGGTAAGTAATAAAAATGTTCTCCTGCCCCTATCCCCCTCTCTCCCCCAACCCCCCCCCCCCATCCTCCCCACCCAAAAAAATAAAAATAGTAATAAAAATAATTTTTTTTTTTTAAATGTAGGGGGGGGGGGGATAATGTTTTTATCACTGATAAGAAAGAATGAAACATAAACATCTTCCACTGTTGCTCATTATTTCTGTGTTTTAGTATACCATTTTGGAGTTTTCCGTCAGTTTCCACCCCCTTTTCTCCATCTCCCCAAACAGATTTTTAACAAGTGCTGAAAACAAAACATACATGTACATGCATGTTAGAGAAATAGGGAGTAAAAGGTGGTAGTAGATACTGCCTTAGTATCCAATTTGTAGAAGTGGTAGTAGTAGTAGTAGTAGTAGTAGTAGTAGTAGTAATAGGAGCAGTAATAGTAGCTGCCGCATCAGTAGTGCTAGAAGTAGTAGTAGTAGAAGTAGTGGTAGGAGCAACAGTAAACGTTGTATCAGTTAGTAGTAGTAGTAGTAGACCGAATTTTTCTGTCTCTTTCGTTCGTTAGCCTCTGATTTGGGTAGGTCGGCTCTCTCTTTAGAGACAGAACAGCCCCATACGCTGTAGTGGCCGCGCGTTTGTACTAAGAAACGTTACACAAAACTTGGCCAAACTTAATCCCTAATTTTGATATTTTACCGGATGCGTATCCGATGCATTTAAAGTCCTAAATTAGCTAAATACTTAACTACTTCGGTTCCACTTACCAACTTGACTGGAATAATCCGTTTAATGGTCCATTTTTAGGAAATTATGGGTCAAGATCGACATCCATGAAGAAAATCTTGCAGCCGAGTCTCATTCTTTCTAGTCTACGCCGAAGGCAAAATGATTATAACGGAAAAACTGTGCATGTCATTACGAACTCGTAGCTCGTGCACAGTTTTTCCTGTAGTAGAGAGTAATGATTTGATAGTCATTTAATTTGACATGGAACAGCACTCCCAGTCACAGCAAGATGGGTATATTAACTTTTACACAAGGATCATAGCAAATCGAAAATAGTGTAATCTTTCTCTCATTTCCCTGTTTCGGAATCCACATTTGCTCATTTGAAAAGTACATGTAGCTAACCTACATTGTATCTACAATAAAGAGATCAAAAGATATATTCGGTGTACATTGATAGCAGCAACGTAGTTAAGGGCAACCAAAAGCATTGATTGTTACATTTCTTCAATAATAATAGAAACATTTATAAGCTTTTAATACAAATGTTTCTATATAAGCCCTGTTCTTTTAGTACCCAGCACTACATGTTAGCTGAAAAGAAAAGGAAGAAAATTGCAGATAACTTGACGTTTTTCTTATGTTTGACAAATGGACATGGAAAAAGATATAACTTAGCAAGGCTGAATTCTCCTTTATCACAACAAATGATTACCCATGATAATTATTCTTAGAGGTCTCCAATTTATTTTCGAGGATAGAATAGATTGATGAAGGATTTACTCACTTTCGAAGGTTTTTAAAATGTTTAAATAGTTGCAGTATTTTAAAGGTCTAATAAGGTGTATTATTTGTAAGGAGGGACTTATAAGTTGTGCAAATGTTTTGTAGTAGTATTATAAAGTAATGTTTAAAACAATATCAACTAGTCCTTTCTCATTTCCAGTATGTTTATTTTATTAGACACATTTAAATAGAGGCCTATGCCTTGTATTATTAATAAGATGATTTTACATACATGTATTTATAGCAGTATACATGTAGCTATATTGATAAATATATTTGAGGCCTATTGTCTTTGATTTACATAACCAAGTGTAGAATGTAGACCTGTTTTTTTTTAAATCAGTTACTGTAGAGCTTCTTCTGAGAATAGGAAAAGTTCTTGTTTCTACCTTGATCAAAAATATTTGAAAAACTTCCTCCACGGTTTGGATGCATTGGCACAAAGGGACCATAGCCATAGGAAAGCGGCTTATTGATTTATAGTCCGTCCAGTGGTATGGGATGTATGGGGGTGTTTGGTTGAAGTCTTCAGGGGTCATGTCCGAGGTCACGATGAGGTCACAGTGGGGTCGGGCAAGGTCAAAGCTGAACTGGTTCCATTACCTAGATCTGTAACCAAAGAAACCCTCAGAGGCCGGCCAGTGTAACCCCACGGATTATTGCCGAGAAATAACTTGAATTTTCTGTTGGGAATAGCCAGCATACTTTGTACCGTTTCCTCTTTTTTCCTGTTCAGTGTTTTTTCTGCTGTTTTCCTCTTATGATAATCTCATAGCTCAGATGAAAGCTAGGAATGTAGGGCTACTTGTTGATCTTGATGTCAAAATGAACATGACATAAATTGCTGCGATTAATCATTACACTTTCTGGATATGGCCTGTGTGTAATGTAATGTAAACCTCTCTCCTATAATAAAGAATTGAGAGGAACATTATAGGTCAGGTGTAGATGGGTTGGGGGGGGGGGGGGTGTAGATGACACCATTTTAAACCTATTTGTTTTGCTTTACAGAGAAGAGAAGGGAAGGGAATGAAATGGAATTGAATTAACTTGAACAGCAGCTCTTAATTAAGATATATTGGCCATTTGAATTTGCCATTGAAACTTATTCCATAAATGGGTCTAGGAAATACCAGTGAATCGTTAGGGGATAATATCAAAATTTATGGTCCATTTGTCATTGGACACCTTTTTTTCTTGTTAACGCTGTGGTTTTGTACTTTATTCCTGGTGTAGCCTGTAAATCACAAGTACTTGATGGCCTGGGTGCATGTCCAGAGGTCTTCAAGGGAAATGCTGAAGTGAATAATTGCACAAAAATATGATATATTACATATATATATATATATTCTTGGGGGCAGCGGAGGGGGAGGGGAAGAGGGGGGGGGGGGGGTTGAGTTGAGTGGATGCCTTGTGTGATTAAGTTTTAAAAATTACTCAACTTATTATTGCTATGATTGAAGCACTATGAATGATAGGAAATACTAGATAAATGTCTAAATAAATTGTCTGACTTGTCGATGTAAAGAGTTAATAATGAATAATGTCTTGAGAGAGGGGAGAGATAGGGAACAAGTGGTAGGACCAGTGATGAAAAGAGAGGGAGAGAGAGAAAGAAAGAAATAAGGGGAGAGAGGGAGAGAATGAGAGAGAGAGAGAGAGAGAGACATGAACAGAGACAGAGGCAACGATAACAGACAGAAAGACAGACAAACAGGCAGACATCGAGACAGATGAAATGAAAAGAGACAATCGCACAAACAGAATGAAAGTCATGAGATAGAGAGGGAGGGAAAGAGAAAAACTTTGTAAATAATTACCAAACTGAGATGCAGCCAAAACAAAGTTTCAAGCCCTCCCGAGCATGAAAAGGAAAATTTCAAGAAAAAAGGTCACCAAAGGCATGAAAAAAAACCAGAAGGAAAACTGAAACTTGGAAGGCATGTGTGGAATAACTAAGGTGGTTGGGTTATTTTGGCCTGAGTTCGTAAGAGGAAGGGGCAACTCAAGTCACATCCAATAAGAGTGTCGCTTGAAGGAAGATCGCAACGTAATCCTGAAATCGATTGAAGGCTGGATCGATACTGCTAGAGAAGGAGCTAGCTTAGAAAAACAACAGCGCCTGATTTCATTACTCCAACAATTTAGTTCCCCTAAATTTGATTGGAGACTTGAAATAACCAAAAATCAATCTCTGCTGAGTCTTGATGCCCCAGCGGCGCCCAAGGCCAGTGACTTTAGAATTTCAAAGCTCAAAAAATAATTATTTGCTAAATATCTCCTCCCTCAAGCGTACATATTTGTATCATACCTGCTGCTGCTGCTGCTGCTGCTGCTGCTGCTGCTGCTACTACTTCTACTACTACTACTGCTACTACTGCTACTACTTACTACTACTACTGCTACTACTTCCTACTACTACTACTTAATACTACTACTACTACTACTACTACTACTACTACTACTACTACTACTACTACTACTACTACTACTACTACTACTTCTTCTACTACTACCACTACTTAGGCTGCCACTGATGCTGCTGCTACTGCTACATTGGTGAAATACCATTACTACTATTACTACTACTACTACTACTACATATCACACATTTTTGACATAGGTGTTTAAATGTGCTTTACAATTATATTATTGATATTTGGGATATATTTTAAAGGTTTTGGGAGATTGCTGGTAAGAGAAAGTTCTTTGTAGTTTATTGATTTGAAAGGTACACTCTTTGCCATGCATCCGTTTCCAATCCAATCCAAAAGGTCTTTTGTATGTATACAACCTTTTCCGTGCAGTTAACTAAATTCAATGAATTGAGCTTATAAATTGAGAGAGTAGTTAAGTCTTTGTGAAGTCTCCTAACAAGGTCGTTAGAAATTCCAATTCTCCGCCTGTTGTGCAATTAGCTCTTTTCATCGGATGTAACAATCATCATTGGACAATAGATGAGGACATTAATGTTTGTACATTCTATTGGAGGTGGGCAGTTATTCAATTTTACATTTGGGGGCTCTTTGTCAGTGACCTTCTTTATTGAATAGTACTACTCTTCCCCTTTATACATCAATAGGGACTATTCTGTTGTGGAATGTTAAATGGTTTGGGAAATTCTATCAAATAACATTGATTGAAAGTAAAGATGTATTGAAGACTTATTTGTTACCACAATGGAATGGGGAGAAAAGAAACACCTGCTTTCTGGCTCTCTGTGATAGTACAGGTGTTGAGTGATGCTTTTTTCAAAGCAATATAAGTTTCTTTGGTAATAGAAACTAATAGGGGCATTTACACTGTCATCCAAACAGCCAAAAAATGCCAAACCGGAGCCTGACCGCGATGTTACCAAGGGCAACTACGCATTACCGGCAGAAATGCCAATTCCAAAACATTCCAAATCGAAGTGTGATCTTTTGGCGTGTTTTGGCGTGTTTTGGCGTGTTTGGCAAGTATAAACGCTTGCAGTTGTAACATCGCGATGTTAGGTGACGTA